ATCGAGATTCCTAATGTAGAAATCTCACACCAAACCACTTGGAACGGAGCCATAAATTATCAAGAAATTGCTTCCATAAGGCAAATATTAACTGTTTTAGATTATATGTAACCAGGAATTCCTTAGTATTAGATTTTATATATTGAGTACGCTTACCCATGTCTCCCCTATTATTGGAAGTGATGTCTTTGACAGCCCTCCCCGAACATTGGAGTCCATATAGAAAGTACCCTTTATCACAATTCTCCACAAGAATTGGAAACAAGGTCGAGAACCTTAACTAAAGACTTTCCTAGAGTTTTTAGATTGAAAAAGGAAAAGGAAATTCCTTCATTATCAATAATGCATTTTTTTTAATATAAAACATTTGTTACAAAGTCTCGAAATAGGAATGATGTAAACTAGAGTTTGTTGATGCCCATAGAGTCTTTAGATACTCAGCATATACAAATTATTAATAAATTCTGACTAACAAAATTTTTCAGATAATGTTTTAAAAGATTCAAAGCATTCCATAAAATGAAGTGAGGTCTGATATTGGTTATCATAATCTTGTTCACCTATGAATCGTAAAATTTGATGAGGTAGAATCTAGACTCCGTAGATATCAGAATGAGATTAAAAAAATGTGGAATCATGATTGCTAACTTCGAGGAATTGGGATCTATGGCGATTCCTTCATGCAAACATGGAATAGTGATTCCAAACTTGAATCTCTACCTAGGGTGGATGATCCAACGACTTTAGATTCCACTCCAAAGACATTGAAATGAGATTCAAAGAATGTCTAATCGTGATTTCTAACTCCCAGGATTTGGGATCTATGGGGATTCCTTCACAGAAATGTGGGATCACAATTCCAAACCATAATTGATTCTTAGGGTGGACGATTATGGTAACTTTAGATTCCATTCCACTATCAATGCCTCATCTTCAATAAAAAGGGTGTTGATTCTTCAACTCGAGTGACCTTTTCTTTCTATTCCTGATCCAGAACACTTTTAAGAATTTGCATTTTTCTTTTCGAATAACTCTTCTTTATATTGCTTGGCTTGCCACAAAACAAACAATAATTCCCTTAGTTTTGATGGGTAATGAGCCTGGCCATTTGAGGAATTTCCTAATGAACAACCCTGTTCATCCTACCACCCTATTACTCCAAGAGCATCCATCCGGGAATTCACCTATCCATCACTACCCTCCTTTGAAGTTGGTCAGCAATGAGAGCTTTACAAACGTGATCAAACTCAAGGGGTTCCTCTTTTCCTATAACATTAAATATTATTTCATACAACACAAGTGAATGGTGGCAAGCACCTTCTTTTCCATTTCCTCCCAGCTCCTTCAAACTCTTCGGCTTCTTAGACTTTTCTTGTACTTTGTATTGATATTGTTATACCATTATTTCATGAACTTTTATTTTCCAACATTTGAAATCTTTCATCCCATCAAACTTCTCTACAAATTTGTAACTTAAAATCTCCCCAAAACTACTACATTCCTTTAAGCTTCAATGCCACTTGTTGGGAATTGAGATTCACTCAATTAACCCTTATTGCGTTGAACCCCAGCCTACAATTAATCCAATACTTTTAAATCAATTTACCTCTCATTTGGAAATTGTATCGTAGAAAATCCAACACTCAAGTATAACATTTGATGCTATTAATTTGGGAAAATAAAAGGAAGCCAAAGGAAGAGAATAAAAGAAACAAAAATCACAGAAACATACTTCAAACTACAATCCAAACACCGCTAACATGCTAATATACATGGTTTGCCCTAATTGGGCTGCATCCACAGGCAGCCTACAAAGGTGTGATTTGATTACATTGGGATATATACAAGATTTTAGTTAATACAATGGTTTGGGCCACTAAAGTTGGCCACGGTCCAGGCTCAGGCTAGAAACCTAGGTTTAGTGGACTTGCCTAGGTTAGTGGTTAAGGACTCGACCGGCTCAGCCTTGGCCCTTGAGTTTTTTGCCCTTTTTTTTTTTTTTGTGAAATCTTCAGGAACATATGAGAGAGTAAGATGGGACTTGACCTTCAGTGATACTAACATACATGGATTGTAACTATTAAAACCAGGATTCATTTTTAAATACATAATAGGTCTGATATTCAACATATACATTACATCAACTATCGAAACAATAATACATACAAAACTTGATCTCTCTCTCTCGCTCATTCTCTCCCCCCCCCCCCCCCTGACCACAAACTAGCTCTCACCTTCTCTTTCTATAATCCATAACCCTCTCTATCTCTCTCTCTATCTCCTATCCATAGTACTCTCTCTCTCTCTCTAATTCACAAACCCCCCTTTCTCTTTTTGCTAACCTCAAAACTAGCTCTCTCTAACCCACTAACTTCCCTAACCCCCCCCCCTCCTCTCTCTCTTTCTTTTCCCACTTAAACCTAGCTCATTCCCTCTTTACTTAAAGCCAGTCTTGTAGGCTCTCTCTCTCTCTTTCTCTCTCTCTCTCTCTTCCCCCCCCCCCCCCGACCCATAAACCTAACCTTGTTTTCTCTTTGTACATGAAGCCAACCATGCTAGTCTCTCTGTAGAATTTCAATCGATTGGCCTCATTCGCCTAACCCATGAATAAGGCTAGCAATTGGCCAGCCTACCCATAGTGTAGAGAGAGAAAAATTGAATTGTTTTTACTTTTTTGAGGTGGGGGTTAGTAATATTTTTGGTTTATGTTGGTAGAGAGACACTAGTAGGATTGGTTTTCTGTAGAGCACAATGTTCAAGTACTTGGCTTGGGCTCAGAACTTTGCCCTTGCCCTTGCCGGGTAACTTGGGTAAGTCTGGATGACTTGCTTGAGTCCTACCCAGGCCCAAAACAGAGCCACAAAAATAAAAAAAATAAAAAAGCTATGAAAAATCAGAAAACATATATTTAATATAAAAATCCCAAAAAAAAAATAAATCAGAAAATGTAGACCAAACCTGACATTAAAAATTTATGTTGTTATTTGCTTGTAAAACAATTGAAATTCTTGAAAAACTGAAAACTGAGAAAGGAGAATAAATCAAAAAATTATAAAAATTAAAATTATATAACAAATTATAACTCAATTATAATTGAATTAGTTTAAAATCCATTTATGAATTTAAATTGAAAAAATGTAAGCATACTCATAGTTTCAAGGCTAATCCCCCTATCTTTGTGCTCAGTGCAAATCAAGGCTTCAGATCTCGCCAAAGCTTCCTTATGCAGCTCAAATAAGAAACCCCTCACCAATTTTGAGTTTGACTTCAGATCTAGAAGATCCAGGCCACCAAAAATTTTGGATAAATAGAAAATCCAAAATTCAAAATTATATAATCGTAATTTTATGTTTGTTTGTGTTGTGGAAGAATTAGCCTATGGTTGATCAACCATGGGATTTGAAGAAATCGAGATTTTCCCAAAATCAGGGAAAAATTGTCCTCGATCTAAAAACACAAAAAATTTGGTTGTTTTTTCTTGAATCTAAGGCTTCAAATAGGCAGATCTAGTGATTTTATAGCTTATATTGAAAATTCAGTTGAAAATGGTGCTTTGGGGCTCCAACATTTAAAGAAAATGGAAAATGCGAATTTCTGTCCCTCTGTTATTTTTAGTTTAGAGTGCAGTACGTGAACGGATTGCTACGGTACTTACCCTAGCACTGTAAGCTGCCATATCCCCTTGTACACTAGTATTCGCCTCGGCACCTTGTCTAGGCCGAGTCGTAGTAGACTTGGGTGAGTTTTATAAGACTAACATATGTGCATGTAAACATTTACCCATACCTGATGTATTCTGTTGGCTAGATCAGCCAGGGCTCAACTTTTGTAGAATCTTTATTTATATATGCATATATTTACTTATGATGAAATGTGTGTTATCATTATCATCATCGGAGCCCAACTATTTGGGGTCAGCTGTATGCTGAAATGTGTATACCTCTCTATATATTAGTGTATTCTTCACAATCTGAGTCCTTCAAATAAGTTGGGAGGGGTGATGAAGTCAATCAGAAGTAGGAGTAGTTATATACGTAATCAGTAAAGTGTTGGGCCAATCCGATACACGATTTTGGGTTTTAAAACATTGTTGTAGAGATAAAGAGGACAGTGGGATGGGGTGTGTATAGAGAGAGCTTGCAGGGGAGAGAAAGAATTTGGGTTTCTTGTTGAGAGAGATTAGTAGGATTTTCATATGTAAAAACAATTTAGGTCCTATAGAGAGAAAGAGAGTAGTAGGAATGGTTGTGTAGATAAAGAGGAAGACTGAGAGAGAGAGAGAGAACCTTCTGGTGGAGGAGAGAAACAAGGTGGATTTGTGCAAAGAGAGAGAGGGTAGTGGGATCAATTTTGTGTTGAGAGAGTATTAGGATTGGCTTTGTGGAGAGAGTGAGTTTCGTTTTGGGGTTAGTGAGAGAAGAGGAGGGAGCTCGTTTGTTTGTTAGGTGAGAGACAGAGATTGGATTATATCTGTGTAAAAGAGATCGATTGTAATAAATATATGTATGAAGCATTATATCTATTGTATAAGCATATGTAACTAATGGGTTGGGGGTTTTAGTGTGGCTGTATGCATGTTAGTATTCCTCATTTTGGAGTCTCCTGCCATTTTTGATATTTTTGTCTTTAATCAGGCTGGGCCGGGCTTGCTAGGCTGGGTCTTGCCTAGTAGGCCCGGCCCGGTTGACGCGTAACAGGGCCTGACGGGCCACCTAGCCCTACTAATATGGCCTGTACTCTGCCCTTTTGCCTGGGCTAGGCATGGGCCTGGGTCTCTAGGGTCCTGGGGCAGGCTAGGCCCATCCCTGGCTCAGCCCAAGCCCTACATATTGACAGGCCTAACCTTGACCTTCTTGACTTGGCATGCTTCAGTTGACCTAATTCTTGCCTATTCCAATCACGAATCTATGTTTTTTCCCCCCTGCTTCCATTTAAAATACGTTAGAACCATGTCACTCATGTTTTGTTTGGCTTCATTTATTGATCGGTTGTATTTCCAGTTTGGGTTGGTGCATGTGTCGACTGGAGATCTTTTGAGAGCTGAAGTATCTGCTGGATCAGAAATCGGGGGAAAGGCAAAAGAGTACATGGAAAATGGGCTTCTTGTTCCTGATGAAATTGTGACAAAGGTAAAAGTTGCTTTTCAAGTCTTGATATTCATCCTTAGTTACTGATGAAATTGTGATAAAGGTAACAATTGCCTTTAAAATCTCGATAGTTATCCTTTGTCTTTACCATGGATAACCATTTGGCTTGTGCAGATATTGAAGTCTCGCCTGTCGCAACAAGATGTGAGGGAGAATGGGTGGCTTCTTGATGGTTATCCCCGAAACCTTTCTCAAGCACAAAGCCTAGAAAACATGAAGATTAGGCCTGATATATGTCTCATGCTAGATGTATGTTGCTCGGCCTTTCTTGACAATTCGATACACAAACTTGTGTAAATAATGGACTTTTTAAAGGTCTGCCACATTATGCGGAAAAATTTGTTGAGATCACATAGCAACGGTTGTGTTAGTTTTCCCTTTGACCATGTTGATTCTTTGCTGCCTTTAGTTGTTCTTTGATGGCTATGGGTGTACATTTGTTCATTGGTTGATATATAGCCAGAACAAAACTTCTTGTGTACATCATAGTTGAACCATGTATGTCTAGGAGCCTTGTTATTACCAATGCAAGCATTTTACTGGGTACCTAGAGTATATTTTGCTTATGGCAATTCATTGCCATAAAACTTGGTAGAAACACCCTTAATTGTGAATGGTTTGTTCTTATTGATGTGGATTAAGCCAGGAATCGGCATGAGAGGTCCTTACTGCCTTCAATAAGCTTGCAACTTCGTTAGTTATAAAACTATCAAAATAATACTGTCTAGTTAGATCAAGGATATTGTTTTATCTAATTGCAGCCTTGCAGTTGTAGTCATTATGATTCCTGCTGAAGAAATATAAAAAAATCAACTCCAAAAATTTAGCGTGGTAAACTGAATATTTGAAACTTTGCTTATTTCATAAATTTCAGATAAATTTAGAGCATTTTCGACATCTTTACTTTGTTTCATGAACTTCGATAAGATATTGCCTCCAAACTAGCAGCACAATATTTAATATTTTGCTTGCAATAAATTACTGGATTAGTCAAATATAGGTATGATGTGGCCTAATTTCTTTATTATCATCTGTTATAAATTTTATCTAACAGAATTTAATGGCGTTAATATTCTTCAGTTTCTCAATTAGTAATTGTTGACAATGTCAATGGTGTTGGTAAACTTGAAAAGAAAATTCTACTAGTTTGAGCAGTTATCCCTTATGTGCAGTTTAGACGTGTAGTGGAGGACAATAATACCTTAGTGGTTACGGTTACTACAACATTAGTAAACATAATAAATGACTATGATGTATCCTATAAAGGGCAGGACACTAAGCAGGACACTATCTATATTGCCATTCCGCTCAAACTAGAGTGTATATACCATGAGCAAGAGCTTCAAGGCTTGAAAATAAAAATAAAAAATTGTGCTACTCCATTTTCATGGTCCTTGGGAACACTGAAAAACTTCTCTGAAATCTGTAGAGATGTTGGGGTGGCAATTATTCGTGTTTTGCACTTTTCCCTGACGGATTCATTGCATCCTTTTTGTCCTCCTGGATAAACAATCTGATTAATATTATTGCTGTCGTCTTTGTCTCCTGAAATCCAAGGCCGTCAAAATATTAAACAAAATTTTGAAGAATAGCATAGAGCTAAATATCTTTATTACAGGTGATTTACATGGTCTTATTTTCTGCGTTTGCATTGGAGCTGCAATACTTTGTTTTGTTATTGCTTTACCTCACTAAGAGAGAGGAGCCTTGAGATATGCAGAATCCTGATGTAAAATTTCATGTTAAGATATCCATATGTAAAGGAAAAAGAGGAAAGCATACTGGAAATTTTGCACAATTCGAACCTTGGTAATAAAATATAACGGCCAAGTATATCACCTTTGAAATCATTGTCTAGGACATGAGCTGTATTGTCAAATGATATACAAAAAAACTGCTAGATGTGGATTTTAGGGTTCCATTATGTGATGGGCAGAGCCCATTAGATGTGAATGTGATGGTAAACTACTACAGCTGTCTGTCCACAAGCTATTGATACTGAATGGCTCTTGGCACCAAATCAATTGGGTGTGTACTTTCCATTAGTGTTTATAGTGAATTGCTGAGTTGACAAATGAGCCCGGTTTTAGAAGGGCTTGTTTAATGTAAACCTCTTCATGGATTTCAGAGTGAAGAAGTCTTTCGCTTTGATCTGAAAAGTTGCTAGTTTTGAAGTGCTGTTTGTAACAATGAGAATGAACAAAGGTAAGGAGTACAATATGAATGTCAAATAGAATTAAAGGCTGTAAAACTAACAGTGAAAACAGGTAAAAGACTACATTTTTTATTTCAAATAAAATTAAAAACTGTTTTGTATTTTATGAACTATGCTAGGTGCAGTTACCATTGGCTCTCATTTAATAAGATACTTGAAGAAAAGTGTAAGTGGCTGATTCTGCATCGCATTTACCATATGCATTATTGTTTTGAACGAAGAGTGTTATTTGCGTTTTCATATCCACTAACTTCCTGAAGATAACATACATGACAAACATTTGTGTTACAATTTGCTACAATCTTGAACTTCTTTTTAATTATGCAATTCAGGATTAAAACTTTGTACCGTAAATGCAGGGACTGCTATACACATAGAGTGTTTGCTCCCATACTCCGTTCCTGCGATTTGGGAGTGCGGCCGTTAGGGGAATGCATCCATCTAGCTTTTAGGATCATGCTCCTCCATTACAGAGAAGTGTGTTCCTCTGTTTTAGGGGTCCGTCATCCCCTAAGTCTTGGAGCTCATTCTCATAGACCACAAGATCTGGACCCCAACGATCACACAATCGAGATCGCAGTGGTCCAAGAGCATGTACCACCTCTTTGGGATCCGGAAAACATCATGTTCTTGGGAACTGTTTTATGTCATATAGAGCTGTTCTATCAAACATAGTTACATTTCTAACATGTAGACATACTTGTGAACATATTAACAAAAAATGTGTTCACAAATGTAAATAATAATAAAAAAAACTAAATATAAATAGAGAAGGATCTTGATTAGTTTTCCTTAGAAAAGTAGAATACACTACTTTTGAAGATATGTGAGTGATATTTTAATTTGAATTTAAGTTTCCAACGCATTACAAAGAAGGCTTTTGTAAGAAAACTTGAAAGGTCAAAAAACTCAAGAGAAGATGCTTATGAGAGAAATTTAATATATATATGTATGTATGTATAGGGTAGCTACTCAGGAGAATTCTAGAAGATCTCCTTCTTCTATACATATGACTGTATACACACCTAGTCCCTTGGTGTTCCTCATAAATTCAGATTTCAATGGATGTTTTACTGAAATTAGACAAAAGAATAAAGATATCAGTAGTCTTCCACTGTTCCACTTGCTATCGATCCTAAGGTAATGACTATGACTTCCTAATTCAACTATTATTGAATGCTGTACAAGTTCTCTTCTTGTCATGGCCATACAATCTCATTTTTTAAGTTTTTTGCGGCACTTTGTCGCAATGAAATATTCGATTGTACATGTGTAAATATAATCCTAGAAATGTGGATTTATATATTTTATATTTATTTCAGTATCACTTTAAAAAAATGAAGTCATTATATAATATGTAACATATAATTTATATTATGATGGTGACCCCTGACATGTGCTCCCACATATATGTGTGTGTGTGTAAGCGCTATTCTAGGGGTTCTCGTAGGCCACTCCTTGGTAAGTGCTCCCAAGTGCTCTTAAGGTAGGAGACTTCAGCCATTGGGTCATTGCACACTCTTTGCTTCCAACATATATATGCTCAGGACATTGTACTGCGACCTCTTATGCTATAACGCTGAAGCCAAGAGCCCAAATCCCTAGTAACCTATTTGATTAACAATTTAGACTAATAGAGGCTAAACATTTGGATGATTGATAACATGAAAAGTATGGAGAGATTGGTTATGATGAGTCATTCTTAGGAGTTAGGATCAAGATGGTCTTTCCCATAGTTATCGAAATCTATCTACCCAGGTGGCAATTCCGCTTTCAAATCCTAATTCAACGATTCCGTTAAGGAATCATCATGGAACCCGTTTCCTTGAAGTTAGGAATCTTAATTCTTGATTCCATGTTTTAGGAATCTCGATTCCAACATTTATTAAATTTCGATTCCACATTTTTTGAATCTTGATTCGAGTTTTTTGGATTCCATATTCTACATCATCAAATACTGTGGTTCGTAGGTGCAAGAAATTGTGATTCTAATAGTGCTAGAACTTGGCAACTATTTCTTAAAGATAATTGGGAAAGAGATTTGGGTTTGATTTGCAACATGGACTATCACATTGACACAAAGAAATTTCCATTTTCAGCTATATATATGAAATAAAAACCTCATTTTCAAGTATACATAAGATAATATTTGCATGTTTTGTTACTTTTGTAAACTCATCACGAATTCTCTGGTGGACTATGAGTGTCTGTTAACTGCTGTTGTTTTTTAGATTTCATTGTTTACAAATCAACTGTTGCTTCTTTCTTTATTCAATTAAGAACCGCACAAAGCCTTAAATCTAGTATTGCGGCTAGTCAACCCTGATTCCAATACTGTGATTAAGGCTCAATACATAGACTTCAATACCGGGGGAACCCTTGTTTAGACCTCTAGGACTTTGCCAGATCTCAATCCAATACTAGAGCAATCATGGCTAAGCATACTCATCAATTCCAACACTAAGGGCTTCTTGCCTATGTTTACTCTAGGACCTTGAACCTTTTGCCCTATAAAATATATTTCCTATTGATTCCTGCTGTAATCTAAGGTTTCGGGTGGGCAATCCCATAGATATAGGAATCTGGATTTCAATTGCGTTGAAACTCGATCCCATAGAGGTAGTAATCTCAATTCTGAGTGGGTTGAAACTTGATTCCAAATGTTCTGAATCTCAATTCCAGTTGGGTTGAAACTTGATTCCAAAGTTGTATGAATCTCGATTCCAGTTGGGTTGAAACTCGATTCCAAAGAGGTAGGAATCTCGACTCCATTTGGGTTGAAACTCGATCCCGATAAAGTAGGAATCTCGTTTCATGAAATTCGTTCTGTCTCGTTTCCTGAAATTTGTCTAAGAAGGGTGAGGACCTTAAACTTTCCCTTAACTCGTCCCATGCCAAGGTAAAGGAGTTGGGCTGCGTTAGATAGGCAGCCAACATAAAACGTTGCTAAAACTTATTGTGAATTTTGAAGCTACAATATCTGCTTATACTAGGGCATTTCCCAAAAGCGACGCATTATATCGGAACCAGGGTACAATGAGAAATAAGCAAGGGTTGGCTAGGGTGTTTCCTAGAAGTGACGTGCCGCAGTGCCACCTGGTTGCGGTAAAAAATAGGTAAGGGTTCCCGTGATATTGTAGATGAGCGCGGGTAAAAAATCTAGTCCAAGTGAATAGCATTCGTCCAGCCACATGGAATGTAGGAATGCTTATAGGTAAGAGTATGGAGTTAGTGGATTCAACGAGACGAAAGAAAGTAAACATAACCTGTTTACAAGAAACTACATGGAAACGAGAAAAAACTAAAGAAATAGATGGGTATAAACTTTGGTATACAAGAAAGGAACATAAGTGATAGTAGACGAAGATTTAACAGATAAAGTAGTTAATGTCAAGAAAATAAGTGATAGGCTCCTATGAATTAAACTTGTATTAAGGGAAGAGATAATTAGTTTAATTAGTGCTTATGCACTACAATTAGGAATAGAGGTTAGAATTAAGAGACAATTTTGGGAGGACATGGATGGAATAGTCCAAGACATACCAAATAAAGAAAGGTCCTTTTTAGGAGGGGACTTAAATGGTCATGTAGAGAAGGATTGTAAAAGATATGAAGGGGTACATGGGGGATATGGGCTTGGTGAAAGAAATGAGATGGTGAGGCTATTCTAGATTTAGCAAACACTTACTTTAAAAAGCGAGATGAATATTTAATAGCCTGTAAAAATAGATCACATAAAAGTCATAGACTTCTTCCTAGTTAAGAAGGTAGATCGACCATCATATAGAGACTGCATGGTTATCCCAAGAGAGAGTTTGACTACCCAACATAGACTCGCGGTTATGGACGTTTGCATAAAGATATGGAAGAGAAGGGGTGAATTAATAGGTGCCTAAGAAATAGGTAGTGGAATTAAAAAAATGAGAAAATAGATTTATTTAGGGACAATTTAGTTAAGGGTCGGTTTGTATGGAGCCGAGGTTCTAAACAATATAAGTAAAGCCACCTTCATGTAGTGTCGAGAATTGTGGTTTCAATACTAGAAATCTTTGTGATAGCCTTAAAGTAGATTTTTATCTTTAATTATAAAATTTAAAGCTTTAAAAATAGTCTAGATGGAGCAGATCTATGAAAACTTAAAAATCTTAAAAATTGATGGTCCAAAAATGCGTTACAAGATGCACTATTTCCAAAACTTGAAATCCTTTTTTTTCTCATGTTCATGCATCTTGATGTCGAGATGATCAATTTGAGGATATTTGGGCATCAAAGCAACCTCTTATGGTGAAATTTTGAGGTGGGCTCTAATTTGATTGTTTAGAGCCTCGTCTCTATATAAACTTTTTCCTTTCATTGAAGAAAGAATATGGAACTCTGAACTTGAGGTCAATGTTATATGGAATGAGATGATTGACTGTATTTAAAAAGTGGCAAAAGGAGTTTTAAGAGAATCTAGAGGGAATGGAAATTCCGATAAGGGAACTTGGTGGTGGAGTGATGAGGTTCCAAAGGCCATTAGTGAAAAACAATCATGTTATAAAACTTGGCAATGTAATAGAAATGATCAAAATTTAAAAGAATATAAAAATACGAAGAAAAATGCTAAATAAATAATAAGTAAGGCTAAACTTAAGGCATGTGATTATCTATACAGTAAACTGAAAATAGGAAAAGGTGAAAAAGATATCTTTAAATTTACAAAAATGAGAGAGAAAAAGTGCAGGGATCTAGGCCATATTAAATGGATTAAGAGTGAGGATCAAAGGGTCTTGGAGAAGGACAAAGAGGTCAACGAAAGGTGGAGAGTTTATTTTAAAAAATTATTAAATGACAAACACAGTGAGAATATAGCGGTGCAAGGAACCATTGACATAAATGAGGGCAAAGGTCATAGATACATTCATAGGATTAGGATATCAGAAGTGAAATAAAGTTTGAAAATGATGAAGATAGAAAGGCTTTAGAACCAGATGGTATCCCTATAGAGGTTTGGAAGTGCATAGGGGAGATTGGCATTGACTAGCTTACCTCAACAAGGTGTTGAGAACAAAGAAAATGGCAAACGAATGGACAAAAAGTACTGTGGTACTTATTTACAAAAACAAAGGAGACAGATAATTGTGTGAACTATTAAGGGATCAAACTTATGAGCCGCTCTATGAAGCTCTGGGAGAGTGTTATTGAGGAACGACTAAGGCATGAAACGAGTGTATTAAAAAACTAATTCGGTTTTATGCCAGGGAGGTTAACAACCGAGGATATTTTCCTACGTAGGCCACTGATTGAGAAGTTGAAGGTGAAGGGAAAAGACCTCCACATGGTCTTTATTGATCTAGAGAAAGCTTATAATAGAATACCTCGAGATTTGATTTGGTGGGTGTTGAAAAAGAAAGGGGACTCAAGACACTATATCAATTTGGTGAGAGATATGTACAAAGGAGTGCTAACTAGTGTACAAATAACTAGGGGAGAGACGAGTGAGTTTTCAGTGACAATAGGTCTACATCAAGGGTCAACATTGAGCCCATACCTCTTTGTCCTAGTTATGGATGACTTAACTAGGCACCTACAAGATGAGGTACCGTGGTGCATTTGTTCGCAGATGACATAGTTTTGATCAATGAGACCTGAAACAATGTCAACACGAAGTTAGAACTTTGGAGGGATGCACTACAATCTAAAGGTTTTCAAATTAACCTGACTAAGACAGAGTATATGGAATGCAAGTTTAGTAATAATAGGAACAGAGACTAAGAAGTTAAGATTGATGACTAGGAAAAACAAAAAAGTGCGCACTTTCAATATCGTAAGTCGATAATCCAAGAAAATGGAGAGATTGAGGAAGATGTCGCACATCGAATTAGAGTTGGGTGAAAGTAGAGATGTGCAACCGGAATTTGATGTGATTGCCGCATACCAATGAAGATGAAAGGCAAGTTCTATAAGAGAGTTGTGAGACCAGCTTTGCTTTATGGGGCGGAATGTTGGGCGGTACCAAAACAATATACCTATAGAATGTAGCGGAGATGAGGATGTTTAGATGGATGAGTGGCAAGACAAGAAGGGAAAGAATTTGAAATAAATACATTCGGAAAAATTTTGGTTTGGCACCTATAAGCGATGAGATGAGAGAGAGTAGAATTAGGTGGGCGCCATGTGTCGCGTATAGCCAATATAGCATCTGTTAGAAGGTGCGAGTTAGTTCATGTGGAAGGCTCAAAAAGGGCAAGGGTAGGCCCAAAAGGACATGATTGAAAATAGTAAGAAAAGATATGGGGACTTATAACCTTACTGAGGGTATGACCCTTAATAGATAGAATGACAGACCAGGATTCGTGTAGCCGACCCCAATTAGTTGGGAAAAGGCTTTGATGCTGCTGTTGTTGATGATGATGATGGACAACTATTTCAACAACATGAATCTTCTAGCCATTTGCGATTCTGATTCCTAAATCGATTTGGAATCTCCGGCATTTCCAACAACTAGGGTCTTTCCTTTAAATAGGTAGGGTAAGGGAGTTGGCTATCCTTACTCCAAGTCATGTATGTTATTAGTTTAACTTGAAGGTTTGTATATTTCTTGGTGAGAAGGTACTGTAATTTGGGAAATTACTAAGTTTCTCAATATTGTTAAATTTCATTTTTACTGTACTATGGAATCTATGAAATGTGGTTTGAATGTTGTTTGGATTTTCTCAAAATGAAGTTTGGAATGTATAATAAATATTCTATTTATCTTTAAGAGAAGTGAATCTGCAATCTAAGAGGAGTTTAAATAAAGCTTCATATTTATTACATTTTATTGGAGATCTCTTTGAAGAAACTTTACAAAAAGGAAAAGTTTCTTGTAGCGCCGTTAGGTCATATGAAAAGCTGAACTGGTCAGTCATAGATGACACCTTTTGAGGTATTCTCGGAGAGGCATCCATAATCATGAGTAACCATGCCTACTACTACGATCGTTAATTTTAGTTAAAATGTTCCTAAAGGTTCTTTGTAATCTGAATTCTATTACCTTGAATTGGATCTCACTGCATTTTCATTTATCATTTTTTACTGTGAATTCAATTTTGGCACAACAAATCTAGCTACTTGGAAGATATATGTGGTAATTGGGGATTATCTCCCATAAGATGTTGTTGAAAATGAATGAATTGGTCATTTAAACACCCTTATGCTGTCCTTTTACTTATAGTGTTATGATATTATCACGGTTTGCAGTCTAGCCGTCAATTGTAACATCATCTAAACTTCTTATATTATTTCATTCTAAATCTGATGTTTTGCAATATCGTAATCTTTATGCTTAGGTTCCTGATGACATCCTCATTGAGAGATGTATTGGACGGAGGATGGATCCAGTTACGGGGAAAATTTACCATCTCAAATATTTTCCTCCGGAGATGGCAGAAATTTATGATCGACTTATTGCTCGCCCAGATGACACAGAAGATAAAGTAATACTTAATATGCTTTCCACATTTTAATTAATTGGTTTGTTTCTTGTGTCATATCATATAAACATCAGTTATCGTCATGCTGATTAGTTCTTACACTTTGATTAGTGTTGAGCTGCTTCCCAGATTTGTCTTCAAACTTTATATGATATTTTGATCTTTATAAGATAATGACTTAGATTCACTGAGTTAAGTAAAGGTTAATAACAATGATATTCAACATTATTTTGATTGCAAATATTAAAAAGCAAAGCTTGTTAGGGCTGTGTAGAGACATAAGTGGGCTAACAGATCATTCTAGAATTGGTAGGGATTCTTTATTTGTGATATGGCAAGGCTGAAAATGGAACCGTCGCAAGCCTGTAACTGCTTATATATAAAGGAAGCAACACCTACCGTCCTCTCAAGTATGAACTATAAAAACTGCCTTTTCTTTCTTGTTTTTCCCACTATTCTTCTTAACCAATCCCATAGTATATGGACATATGCAAGTTACATTTTCCTATGACATAAGCCTCATGAAGTGTTTAGTTTCTTTAGTGAAAGGAAACCTCACAAAGTTCTTTTTTGGTATAGTCAAAGCCAGAATAATCTCCATCTCATTTTTGTTTGGTGCTACTTTTTGAACTTGCATTTGATAGTTCAACTCATACCCATTTTTTTCTTATTTGGGTAGCTAGATCCTTCAGCGTAGTGGGAGACAGAGCGGTTTGGGTGAGGGAGGTCAATGGTTTGAACCCTTGGAGTTTGTCTCGAAGAACCCAAACAAGCTAACCTAACCATCGTTTTACTATTTGGTTAGGTAAAGTCACGCTTGGAAACATACAAGAAAAATGTTGAAGCTATCTCCAAGACATATATGGATGTATTGCACAAGGTAATTTGTGTTCAATTTTAATTTTTTGTTTGATGCGATTGATTTATCTTCCGGAGTTTTTGGCAAAGTTTGTAAATATGAATGTAGATTGATGGAAATCACCCTAGAGACATGGTTTTTCGTCAAATTGAATCCTTACTACAAGTGCAAAGCGATAAATTGGAGACAAGGACTTCGGACGGTTCAAGTAAGTGGCATTAGTTATAAAGAAGTACATTGTTTTTCTGGATTGTTTATGGAAAACTTTGGAAGATTTATGTTTGTGATGGTTGTAGTTACCTTTTTAGTATGAAAATCTTTTCAATTATTGATGTTCAAGTTTGTTATTGGGTAAGCTTATTTTTGACCTTTTTGATTAAGCTGAACTATAGTTACCCGAATCGCCCACTGGGTAGCGATTCCGTTTTTGAATCTTGATTCCGCGTTTCCCATGACGAGACTTGATTATGAAAGGAATCACTTTTCCAAGTTTCTCGAAATGCGATTCAATTTAGTTTATGAATCTCGGTTCCTGGAAGCCTGGAATCAAGATTCCATATTGCAGACTTTATGATTCTTTGCTACACAATACTGCGATTCTGCTTGTGTGAATCATTGATTCTAAATTTTTAGGAATTGTGAATCCATGTTGTTTGGAATCAAAGATTCTATATCGCAGACATCGTGATTCTTAGCTTCACAACAATGTGATTCTACTTGTACGAAAGGGTGATTCCAAATTTTTAGAAATTGTGAATCCATGTTGTTGATTCCAATTTTTTAGGAATTTCTATCTTGCATTCGAATTCCATATTACTTTTTAACAATTCTTACCAAGAATAAATATCACTAAAATAGTTTATTACTTCGAATTTAATAATTTTTGGTAAATGATGTGTGTACAAAGGTAATATTGTTTAATATATGATGGGTACCAAGATATGCTACCGCTGCTTTTCTTCAAGTAGAATAAGAGGATAAGAATATGAGTGAATTTCCTTATGGTGTTTTAGGTTAAATGAACCATTAAATATCATAAATTGACTTAAAATTGAATAACTCAATTTTCAAAAGTCAAAATTACATTTAACAAAGAAGAATTTCTATGTCATCAGCTTTTTTTATAATTCAAGGGAAGGAGATAGACGGAGCTTGCCCTTGTTCTCACTAGTTGTATGCTGTAGACCAGCTTCAGGTCTCGTAGGCAAAGGGTTGTTGGTAGACCTAGTCCATTGTATGGGATTGTTGACAAAGATATCATAAATGTTAACATTGGTAATTGGACTAAATATATACAAACCAAAATTCAATCTTTTAATAATGATAAAATTTAAATATATTATGAATGCTTCTCTCATATACCGGAAGGGATTGGTGTGCAATTCCAGTATGGGGAGAATCTCAATTTCTGAATGGTGAGAATCTTGATTTCAAGTTGATGGGGACAATTATTTCAGAATTTTAGGAATCACGATTCTATATGTTTAGAAATCACGATTCCAATCTCATTGGATGGCGATTCTAGGATCCACTGAACCATGTAGGGTTAGGTGCGATTCCATATAGGTATGAAACTGGAATCCAACATGAAGGGACATCGATTCTTACAAATAGGAAACATGATTCCTATTTTATTAGATCGCGATTCCAATATAGTGCGAATCAGGATTTGTAATTCCAAATCGTATGGACAACGATTCCACTATTAGGAAACATCTGATACATGCGATATTGCGATTCCGATTCCAATTCCTGAAATGATTCGGAATCACAGGCGTTTCCAACAACTATAAGCTGTACATTTTAAGTAGTTTGGTTCTCTTTGAACATGTCACCATAAAAGTATTTGGTTTCTTTTTGAAGTGTATGTGAATACCATATTATAATGGCTTCGAAGTTTCTAATTTCTAGGTTCTTCCGTCATGATTTTCTTGGTAAATAAGGTTTTAAAAAAGGAAAATTGTTTCAAGCGGGCTGGACCCCATTTCTACATATGCAGTCTAGAAAGTGTAAAGCATCCATCTTCAAGATAGATGCAAGTAGTTGTTTAATCTAAAAACAATGGAAAATAATGGTTCAAATGTTTTCTTACTAGGATTATTATTTCTAGTTTTTAAAATTTACTTATTTTTTCATATTCATAATCTCCATGTTAGAGATTACATGTCCTTAAAAATTAAGTCCAAAAATCTATCTCAAAAATAGATTTATTAATAGGTCCGCATTTCTACATATGCGGGCTTGGCCGCATAGAAACCGGGTTCTTTAAAAAATGAACTTAATGTTGTTAGTTGTAAAGAAAGTCATATGTATTTCATTTGATAGTAGAAGCTATCCTCACCTTTCTGAAAAGTCGATCGTTAATTGTAATATTCATTACCTAAGTTTTATGAAGTAGAGAGTTAACTGTATGACTTATGTTTAGGACAAAATTTCCTATATGCACATATAAGTTTATCTATATTTATGTAGAATACTGTAAATTAGAATTAATTCTTCTTTCTGCAATAGCAATCTATATAATTCACAAGAATGAATCATGTCTATGATTTAATTTAGAACTGTGGTTTCACCTCTTATGCTAATCCGTTTTCTTAAGTTAAAAACGATTCCACCCATAGCGGAGATATAGGCTCATGTAGGATCACAATTGAGAGGACAAAAACAAGATTCTAAGTTTACCATTACGTGTTCTTGTCTTTTGCATGTATGTCTTTTGAGGAAGTTGTGGACTCTGAATGCAGGAATGGATATAGTTTCAACGATTCCACCCACAATGGTGATATAGGGTCATGTAGGATCACAATTGAGAAGACAGAAACAAGATTCTAAGCTTACCACTACATGTTTTTGTCTTTTGCAAATATGTATTTTTAGGAAGTTGTGGGCTCTGAAATGCAGGAATGGATATGGTTAGCCTCATGCCATTACTTGTTACTATGTTATTGACTTCCATTTATTTTTTGTCATTTGATAGACAAAATAACTACCTTAAGATGAAAATATCATAGTTAATTGTTTAATCTACTGCTGCTGAGTGTTGACTGGTGCTTTTTAGTCAGGTTCTCATGAATCATAAAATGACATGGTCAACATGCAAGATTTCTTGTTGTATGATTTGGATGTTAATGACCCAAAGAATTGTGGTTTTTCCATTATTAGTGTGTGTATAGTATGAGGGCTATTTAGACACCCATTTTTTTTATCAGTCCAACTATTTGATTCTGCTGCTCAAAACATGCATGGTGAGACTCCCCTGAGTTTTGACTTTGGCCCACATTTTTTACCACTAATATGGGTTGATCACTAAAAACATGGGTGGCCGAACTTTCCCCCTATGTCCTAAAACTTTCCTACTATTTTACTCATTTTGAATCTTTAATGAGGCTGTTATGTGCTTGGACTAAACGCTTCATGTTTCAATAAATTTTCAACTTTTATCTGATTAGAGAGGAATTTTTAACTCTTTTTTGTAGGTAAGTATTTTTCACGTCCAAGTTATTACACCTTGAAATTTATGTCCGCTGGTTTTGGTTGATCACTAGGGACTTGTATCCTTGATGAGAATGCCAGCCCAAGCATGACATCTGCAAGGAAGGTAAAAGAAATGTTCTCTGTATTTGTTTGATCGGTCTCTAACACACTTCCATTTTGTCATTAAAAACAAAATTATAACTGTGTTTGAGGCTAGGGAGTAGCAGGAAACAAAATAAATTACTTTTGTTTAGATTACTAGTTAATGTGCTCCATAAACTTTCAGGATAAGTGGAGAGGGATTCCAACTCGGCTGAATAATATTCCTCATTCTCGAGAAATAAGGGAATATTTTTATGAAGACGTGTTACAAGCTATTCAAAGGGCTTTAGAAAATGGAAGAATAAGATTGAAGGTCTGTTGTTCATACATTGTTGATTTTTCAGTTTCCTAAAACATATTCTTATATTTATTCTTTGGCATTTTAGTTCCTTTGGTGATCTATTTTTTGTTCAACTGATGAAAAATTAGTCAATAAATCTCATTTTTTGCTTTGTCACTTATAGTGATAGGAGTTTTGCACGGGGTAGTTGATTGATTTTTCAATTTCCTAAACCTTATTCTTTTGATATGTTTCTGTTGACATTAAAGTTCCTCTAAATATTTTTTTTTTTTTCAATTGATGAAAAATTGGTCAACGAATCTCTTTTTTTTTGCTTTGTCTTTTATGTAATGATAGCAGTTTTGCATGGATTAGTTGCTTGTTGCGAAGACTGTTGGCACTTTGAAGGCTGTTGGTACTTCTTCTATGTGGAAATCCATTTGTTTTGTATTAGAATTTCTTTTTAGTGTTGACTGTGACTCTGATATTTACTCGTGTGGCACCAATTGATCTTGATACAATCTTCTTACTTCTACCTGGGGATGGAAATGGGCTAGGAGGCCCAGCTAGGGCTGCCCTGGCTCTAAAAAACTAGGGCTTTGGCGACAAAATGTGGCCTGAGGGCAGAATAGGGCCAGGTGATGCAGTATAAAATTAACCGGCGAATACCACCCGACAAATTAACTGCGTTTTAGAGAGACAAATAAAAACCATGAAGGAAATCATAAGAAGAAAGAACAAAATGCTGGATACGAGTATTCCGACAAGGGCCCACAAGCACATGAGAAGAAACAACACCCATGAAGGGCTCTCTCTAAGATCTCAAACGATCAACGTTTTTTCATTAACAAAATTCCATCCCCCCTACAATATGCGTGCTTCCTTTCTTTTGTACACTTCCAACTTTCTAAAACTTTCTATAGAAAAGGAAACGCTAATCTCAATAGGTGCATTACATATCACCTAACCAATTAGCCAAAAAAATCACATGAACCTTCCCCTTATCCCAAAGGATAAGGAAAAACATCGATTCCTATTTTTTCTAAAGATAAGGCTTTAAATAAACGTAACTTCCTATAATTTTAAAAGAAAGCTTACTACAGATTAAGAGTAAATATTGAGATAAATTCCTATGTTGCAACAAAACTTTCTAAAAACGGAAGTTTATATAATAAACCAAATATAAGCTTCCCTAAAAAAATAAACTTTATCAAACTAACTTAAAAATCCTATCTTTAATAATTAACCCTAATAAATAAAAATAAGAATTGTGCCCAAACTCTAAAAATAAAATTAACAAAAAAGAAATAAAATTTGTAGCATCCAAATTTGGATATGCATCGTTCTCCTCTGGCTGGTGAAAACTCAACCTCGAGTTTAAAATGTGCTAAGCACAACTTTGTATTAGTCCTGCCACCTTCTTCGATTCGAATGTTGTAAACACGAAATTGGAGCCTGTGGGTTGCGATACTATTCAAAAGACAACAGTTGCGCATTGAAACTGAACGATTGTGCATTGAAACTGATAAAAACTCGAGGAATGGGTCATCGTATATCAATTTTTCAGCCACATCAATGTATTGAAATTCGTCAAACTTCACCTTGGGGCACACCAGAAATACATCGGTCTCTTCGTTATACATCTCTATAGGCTCGATTTCCTTTGGGATCAAGTCAATATTTTGATACTCCACCTCTCCATCGATAAGAAAATTAGATACCTTTGCTGCCTCAAGGATAACTTCTTTCCTTTTATCTTGTTCTTCATAAAAAACATGAACTTCATCAAAGATGGGGTAACCTGTGACATCCAAGAATGATGATTGCAATTGAAATCCAAAACTGCACGTTCTTCATCTTCAACTGGTTTTTCATCAAACTTAGGTAGATCAATCTCTCGACCATGAGGAAACATATTATTCTCTTGACCATGAGGCTCTCGACACAAAGCGTTGGCACGGAATGGGTTCTCGAAATGGCTTCCGACTCACTACCGTCATCATAGTGTGTCAATACTAGTTTTTGCGCCTAGTGCAGGGTCAGCTCTTCTACTTGCCTTCTCAAACTTTTGTTTGCCATTTCTCGGAGAGCTCAAAGGTTTTGTTCTCGCTGGATGAGTTGAGTCCTGATGCCCGGCTATAGACCTTGTCCACGAGCCATGTGTTGATGATTGATGTCTTGTATTTTGAGGAAATATATCTGCCAAGGTTCGGAGATATCCGTACATGGGATTCGATATATCTTGGACTTGATATATATATATATATATATTCGTACAATGGTATTTAGGTAATTTGTACCATCCATCTGGGACTCGATATATATCGTTGTGATTGGGGGTTCATCCAAAGTTAAGGGTTAAAGGGAAAAACGCAGATCTCTTTGTAATTAGATAAAAAAAAAAAAACAGAGAGGCGTGAGGAAGAGAGCGAATTGTACCCCTATTCTCCATTGCTAATAAAGAAGCTTTAATCTCTTGTGGACGTAGGCATGTTGCCGAACTACGTATATTTTGCGTTGTGGTTGATTGTCTATTTCTTTTGTGTGTGTTTCTTCTTTCTTGTTTTTCGTGGATTGTTTTTCGTTTCTACAAATTGGTATTAGAGCCTACAAGGTTATTCCACGTTCTGGGGTTTGCTACTACGATGACAGGAAAGGGCTCAAGCATCAAGTATGACATCGAAGGATGAATGATCTTTTGAAACAACAAGGTCTGGCTAAGGCTTTGCTAGGGAAATCAAAGAAATTAGCAAAGATGGACGATGAAGAGTGGCAAGAGATGGAAGAAAAGACGGTAAGTGCGATTCTTCTGAATCTCTCAGAGGACGCCTTGCGCTATGTGGTGGATCTCGAAACTGCTCCGGAGGTTTGGACAAAACTCGGGAGTATCTACATGATGAAATTTCTGATGAACAAGTTGTTCTTGAAGAAGTTGTATTCTCTTCAAATGGAAGAAGGCACAGATCTGCTTAAACATCTCGGCGAGTTCAACCAGATCATAAGCCAATTAGCAAGCCTTGAGGTCGAAATCGAGGAGGAAGACAAGGCCTTACTTCTGTTGGCTTCTTTTTCAGGATCATACGATCACTTGGTTATGACTCTACTGTACGGGAAGGAGACTCTTGAGACGGACGAAGTCACTGCTACTCTTATGTCAAACGAGACAAGGAAGAAGACTAGCAGTATTAAATCTTAAGGAGAAGGTTTGTTTGGAAAACATAGAGAGTCATGAAAGGGGCAGATTAAATCAAAGGAGGCCTGGAAGCAGAAGTCGGTCAAAATCGAAGGGGAATGATAAGTATATTTGCTATTACTGCAAAAAGGAAGGTCATATGAAGAGAGACTGCCCGAAAAGAAAGGAAGATATAAAGATGATAGAAATAGGAAAAATATCTGATGAAGCTAGCGTGGCCGATAGCTCTGATGGAGATGATGAAGATCTTCTCGTTATATCTTTAGGTAAGAATCAATTTACTGATTCTTGGATTTTAGATTCTGGTTGTCCTTTTCATATGTGTCCAAATAGAAACTGGTTCAAAACCTACAAATCATATAGTGGTGAAATATTTTCTTTATTTGAAAAATAATAAAACACATGGGGGCCCAATATGGTCCATGGGCTCCATCATAATATTACATGTGGGAAGTGTGGGGGGCCCACATAAGAGCACCATGAGAGGCACGCTCCACTTTGTGCTATTAGTTTCCGATTTTGAGGATTTGCACTCAAGCCACTCAATCAATAGAAACAAAATAGGAAGGTTTTGAAAATTAAAGATATTTGATTTTCAATATAAGCATATGTAAGAAATTTATGGGAAAGAAAGGATAGAGAAACTATATTTTTAATATTTTATTTATTTGATGGGATTAAGTTAAGAAAGCTGAAGGATAAGGTTCTAGTACCTTCCTTTTGATCATGATGGTTGATCTAAGGATTAAAAGCCTAAGATCTTTCAACCCACGGGTCTCCTATGATCAATCGTTTGGATCTATTTTCTATAAGGATGGTTAACTCTAGAAAACCCTAACCCTGAGGGTTGCTCTATAAATAGTCTCTATGGGGTCCTAAAATCTCGACACCTTGACTTTGCTCTCTCTCTCTCTCAAGGAGACACACAGCCCTTTCTCTATAATCTCTCATCTCTCTCTAAGCCTCTCAAAATACTTTGAAATATTTGTGAAAAAAAAATAGGGGGCACGCCCCATACAAAAGCTTGAGCCTTATTTTGTTCCACCGTTGCTCTCTGCATTAAAGGGTATTAACTAGGCTGTCCATACTTTGAAGATCTAAGATAGACCTTGATCCCATGCACGATTGGAGGAGGAGACCCAGGGTGGGGTATACCAAGTCCAGTTGAGGTAATCTTCTGGCAACTTTAATTTTATGTTATAAAGTTTATGCTTCTTATTCCCAAGAGTATTATGTAATTTTTGTTTATTGAATAAAAGAGTTTTATTTAGTGGCAGCAAGTGAGAACCACTTTTTGTTATTCTTATTTGTTTATTTTGAGTTTAGTTCATTGTATTTAGACCTCTGTAAGTATTCTAGCCGATAGAAGAGAGAAAAATTAAAAATCGCATATACCGTGCTAGTTCACCATGTCCAACTTTCATTAGAAAGTCAAAAGGTATTAGAGGTTTAACAGATGTTAAATATATAAATTAATTAATTAAAAGTATTCTATAATGAAATGTTCTAGTATTGGGTATGACTAATTCACAGTTCACCAACTAAAACCGAATAAAAAAAGCATACGCGTAACACATTAAGATGTCCAACAAATCCAAACTTTGGCCTCAAACTTGGCAAGTCTCAAAAGAGCATCATGAAGATGCCCACCAAATCCAAACCAAAATTGCTGAAGAAACAAAAACTGCAAAAATATGTGGAATAAAAAAAAGACCCCATGATGGGGTTCTAGCTAACAATAGACATAAACTAGGTCATTTGTGGTTCAAGATACCTAAATTTTTGCCTTTCCAAAATTAAAGATATCTATATTTGAAACATTACAGTTCAATATCATACA